AAAAAAAAAATTAATTTCTTTATTATATTTCTAAAGAATTTCACTTAAAAATTCATAAAAAAAGAAATGATTCATCTTCCAGAAATGAAGTAGAATAATTCCTAAACTTAAAAAGAAAATGACATTTATGAGTATACTTACGATATAAGCAAAAGTAGGGATATAATTTTCTCCAATTGATGAAAATGTTTATGCAACTAATACTGCTATGCTTATTATATGGAGTTAATTTTCAAATGCATTCATTTATTTGTGATAATAAACATTATTATCTAAAAATAATTTAGTATAAAAAGTTAATATTAGATATGTAAATACTGCTCTAAATGAAATATTTGCATCAATCAAAATAACAATTAAAAGTATTCCATTGTTAAGTATTAATTTATATGATTCCCATTATAAACAATATTTTGAATAGGAAGAAAACCAGAAACCTATCTACTTGAAACGTTATTTTTAATTTAAAAAGGTAGGCGAGTTTATACTTTGTAATAATTATAAAGGCAATATTATTGCAAGAATAATTACAATAGGTAAAAAACAGAAAATTACTAATATTAAATGATTGCTATCTCCATATTGACAAGATATATTTTTGTAAATCCAATAAATTTCTTGTATTTATCGAAACGCTATTAATTGAATTAATGATCTGATAATACTATTTTAAATATAAAAGATTAACAAAAATACAAGGTTATAAATTGTGGTTTAACTCAATTTAAATTTTTAAGTTAGCTTCATAATATAAATGATAAAAGAAAAACAACTGAAAAGCATAATAATACAAGTAAAATTTTACAAAATCTGTATGTATATTACACTTATTTACAAATTAAGTAATTGACATTCTTAAAAAATAGCTAGAACAGCAAATGGATTCCCTAAATACTGAATAAATTATTAGATTCCATCAAAAAAGACTGAGCTTAACTCTTAAGTTATACTAATAATTTAAAAATAGGATAAGATAATTTTAATACTTTATCCCATTAAAACTTCAGATTATTTAAAATAGTACGATTTATATGGTTCTTTAAGTAAATTAATATTATGGCGAATTCTTTCATTTCTTTTATTAGTAAGATAATTAATTATAAAGAACAACAAACCAAATCTATTATAAATATTAATTTTACAATAAAATTAAAATAGCAAGATTCATTAAGTAGCTGTAATTAAATTCTTCACAAATTTAACATTCAAACTAATGAATTCTTTGAAATTGTCCTCCTCCTCTGATATTATAATAATCACACTATTCACAAAGAGCACCTAAATATCCTAATTTGCATAAGTTATCTCCAACTCCCCAACCTCCTATACAATTTTCTTATTTATTTGAGCACAAATTTATGATTGAAGAAGTGACATACATCCTCCAATAATTCTAAATAATATAAATTAATAATATTAACCTATTTCAAAAAAATTTGAGCTTAGGTGAAATTTTAAATCTTAGTGTCATCAACGATTTAGCATTATGTAGCTCGAATCGTTACAGAGTACTATTTTTAATCCACTCTACACTAATGACAATAATCTTTAATGTCTTAACTAAATTCTCCTAATTGACATTCCAATGGTTAAATTAATAAGGTCAACAAATAATTTTAGTGATAACTAAATAAGCTAAAATATATACTTTTCAATTAATTAGTTTTATTTATTTACTATTGGAACAAATATACTATTACATTAAATTGACAATTCATAAATTATATCAGGAATTTATGGTAAATAAAATATTAAATCATCTAATTCATAAGCAAATGTTTTTTCATTAAAGTAAAATTTATTTTTATTAGAATTTATTAGATTTTCAACTTATTCAGTAGAATAATTTAAATTTTTAATTGACAATTCACAATATGTATTAAATAGATTTCTTACTATCTCTAATTATTAATTAACAGGAAATAATTTCATTTATATGGATTTTTAATTATAATGGTTATTTTTTATTTCAAATTTTCTATATTCGGCTATTTTAATTCCTGTTGGCACTCGAAAGATTGTCTATTGCCCATTTTTGGAAATAAATTAAGCATGTTATTAATTTATATTTGAGGATACAACTTTTGGAATTAGAATTTCATTATCAAACATTTATAAGTATATTTGTTAAGGATATTCTTCAATTTGATTAGAATAATTTTAATAATTATTATTTAAGAGTTATATTCCATTAAGATTACTTTTCAGTTTATCTTAGTTATAAATTCCACTTCCAAATTCTGCAGAATTATTCAAAATAAACAAATTCTTTGAAATCAAAAGTGTATTATTACCTCTTGTAAATATAGCACCACCACCATGTTTAGCTTTATTTCTTAAAATTATGCTTGAAGTAATTAATATTTTTTAATTTGCTATGTATAAACAACCTCCATCTATTGCAATATTTTAATAGCACATAAGGTTTGATATTTTGATTTAAAGATTATCTATATTAAAGAAGTCCTAAGAATCTTAATTTTGGTTGATTGCATTCTCTTATTATAACATAAATGTGACACATCCATTTTTTCCACAATTTGAGTTTAAGATATTTAGTTTCTCAATTATAATACTTGTTTAATAATTGTTTTCAAAAGTTAATAAACCATTTAAACAATTATTACAAGTAATATTTTCTAAATTCAAATTAAATAGTTATATCTTATGAGATATCTGAGACTCAGTAAAAAATATTAACGAATTTGTTGTCTATTTAACTTAATTTAATAAATTAAATTAATTAATTAGAAAAGATAATATTTCTTATCTAAATATTCATTAAACTAGTATATCCATAAAATTAAAATAAAGGTATTGGTGGATAATTTGAGAGTGAAAAATCCATTATATCTATTTAACAATCAANAGCTAATGGATTCCCTAAATACTAAATAAATTATTAGATTCCATCAAAAAAGACAGAATTTAACTCTTAAGTTATACTAATAATTTAAAAATAGAACAATATAATTTTAATACTTTATCCCATTAAAACTTCAGATTATTTAAAATAGTATGATTTATATGGTTCTTTAAGTAAATAAATATTATGGCGAATCCTTTAATTTCTTTTTTTAGTAAGCTAATTAATTATATAGAACAACAAAGCAAATCTTATTTAAATATTAATGTTACAATGAAATTAAAATAGCGAGATTAATTAAGTAGCCATAATTGAATTCTTCACAGATTTAACACTCAAACTAATGAACTCTTTGATAATGTCCTCCTCCTCTAATATTATAATAATCACATTATTCACAAAGTGCACCTATATATCCTTCTACACATAATTTATTTCCAACTCCCCAACCTCCCACACAATTTTCTTATCTATTTAAGCATAAATATATGATAGAAGAAGTGACATGCATCCTCCAATAATTCTATATTATATTAATTAATAATTTTAACCTTTTTCAATAAAATTTGAGCTTAGGTGAAATCTAAAATCTTAGAATCATCAACAATTTTGCAATATGTAGCTTGAATCGATACAGAGTACTATTTTAAATCCACTCTGCACTAATGACAATAATCATTAATATTTTAACTAAATTCTCCTAATTGACATTCTAATGGCTAAATTAATAAGGTCAACAAATAATTTTGGTGAAAACTAAAATAAACTAAAATATATACTTTTCAATTAATTAGTGTTATTAATTCAATATTGGAACAAATATACTATTACATTAAATTGATAATTCATAAATTATTTCAGGATTTTATGGTATATAAAATATTAAATCATCTAATTCATAAGCAAATGTTGTTTCATTAAAATAAAATTTATTTTAGCTTAAATTTATATTTTCAACTTATTCAGTAGAATAATTTAAATTCTAAATTGACAATTCACAATATGTATTATGTAGATTTCTTACTATCTCTAATTATTAATTAATAGCAAATAATTTCATTGATATGGATTATTAACTATATTGGTTATTCTTTATTTCAAATTTTCTATATTAGGCTATTTTAATACCAGTTGGTACTCGAAATATTGGCTATTGCCCATTTTAGGAAATAATTTAAGCATGTTATTAATTGATAGTTGAGGATACAACTTTTGGAATTAACATTTTATTATCAAACATTTATAAATATATTTATTAGGGATACTCTTCAATTTGATTAGAATAATTTTAAAACTTATTATTTAAGAGTTATATTCCATTAAGATTTCTTTTCAGTTTATCTTAGTTATAAATTCCACTTCCAAATTATGCTGAATTATTCAAAATAAACACATCTTTTGAAATCAAAAGTGTATTATTTCCTCTTGTAAATATAGCACCACCGTGTTCAGCCTTATTTTTTAAAATAATGCTTGAAGTAATTAATATCCTTTAATCTGCTATGTATAAACAACCTCCATTTTTTGCAAAATTTTAATAGCACAAAAGGTTTGATATTTTAATTTAAGTCTAGATATTAAAGGATCCTAATAAATCTGAATATTGGTTGATTTGGTTTTCCGATTATAACATAAATGTGACACATCCATTTTTACCACAATTTGAATTTAATATATTTATTTTTTCAATTACAATACTTGTTTTATAGTTGTTTTCAAAACTTAATAAACCATTCAAACAATTATTGCAAGTAATATTTTCTAAATTTAAATTAACTAATTATATCATATGTGATATTTCAAAGTCAGTAAAAGATATTAAAGAATTTGTTGACTATTTAACATAATTTAATAATATTTCTAAAAAAGCTATCTAATTTATGTTGGAGATTATTTAAAAATAAGATAAAATGTTTTCTGGTGCTTCTATCTCTTCTTAAAGGCATTCTGTACTTAATTAAGAAATTAGTTCTTATGAATTTTATTTTTAAGGAATAATAAACTCAGTAATATTAATTTAAACACATTATTTTATTTCTAAATTTCTAATAAATATCTTATCAAATACTCTTACTTAGGTAAATTAAATTAATGAATTAGAAAAGATAATATTTCTTATCTAAATATTCATTAAACTAGTATATCCATAAAATTAAAATAAAGGTATTGGTGGATAATTTGAGAGTGAAAAATCCATTATATCTATTTAACAATCAAAACAAAATATGAAGCTGTAATCTTAAATAAAAGTAGCCAATTCATTACTTATTAATTACTGTAAAGAATTTATAAATTAAAAAAATTGTTTATTATTTTAAGTAAGTTTACAATTCTTCATCTAAAATAATTAGAGCGAATGAGAAGATTTTTCTACATATAATAATCCTCCTTAAATAGAAAAAATATCTGAAAAAGTTGAATTAAGTATTGAGAAATTAAATTATTATGTTGATGGAGTTACATAAAAAATACTTCCAGACTTTCTTGCAGAGATTTAATCAAACTTTGTATTAATAACTTCTATGTTTAAATACTCTTGTTATGATTAAATGTAAAAAGCTCCTCCTTTTGAATATTCATTAAGAACAGCTCCCAAATTATAAAAAGAAGAGTTCGCTATTGAAACATTTCCATTTTCTAAAAGATTCAAAACAAAAGCAGCCCCGTATTTTGAAAAGGATCCTTCTATACTGATGTTCTCAAAATTAATTATTCTAGTTTGGATATAACCATTACCTCCATAACTTTCTACAATATATTTATTCTACAAATCTTCTAAATAAATAGTTCTATTTAATCCAAACTTAACAAATTATTTAATTGTATCATAACAAAAAGCAGAATTATTT